GTTTTGAAGAGATGCAACAGTAGAATATAAAGGTAGACTTACGCTGACAATTATCTTTAAACAGTAGAATATAAAGGTAGACTTACGCTGACATTTATCTTTAAACAGTAGAATATAAAGGTAGACTTACGCTGACAATTATCTTTAAACAGTAGAATATAAAGGTAGACTTACGCTGACAATTATCTTTAAACAGTAGAATATAAAGGTAGACTTACGCTCACGGCTAGAACTGGTCCGATCTTGTACATAGCATAACGCTGACCTCGGCTACTTATGTCTTCTAGAACTACCCCAGCAGGTAACTTTACTCCTAACTTCTGTCCAATTAAATAAGCAAGATCTTCCATCCTCTTGGCTGTCCCCCCTACACAGATGAACTGAAAAAACATGTACGTTTTGTATAAACGGTACGAAACATTACTTTTAATATCACTTATGAGATATATTTATATAGTTTCCATAAAGTTACCTAACTTAAAGCCTAGTCCTGATTAAAAACATTGACCCTTTCGTAGCTGTATAAACTTGCATGTTTTATCTTGTTGCTTTTTGTGTTGGCTTGGAATCATGCCTTTTCTGTCAAGTAAAACTAAACGTTGTGTTATTACGTTACCTGCTTTGACAGTTTTCGAGACTCACGCAAACTTCTAATTTACACAACCAATCCAGACGCTTACCTTGAAGTGCCAAACTTCTAATTTACAAAACCAGTCCAGACGCTTACCTTGAAGTGCCAAACTTCTAATTTACAAAACCAGTCCAGACGCTTACCTTGAAGTGCCAAACTTCTAATTTACAAAACCAGTCCAGACGCTTACCTTGAAGTGCCAAACTTCTAATTTACAAAACCAATCCAGACGCTTACCTAGAAGTGCCAAACTTCTAATTTACAAAACCAATCCAGACGCTTACCTAGAAGTGCCAAACTTCTAATTTACAAAACCAGACCAGACGCTTTCCTTGAAGTGGCAAACTTCTAATTTACAAAACCAGTCCTGACGCTTACCTTGAAGCGCCAAACTTCTAATTTACAAAACCAGTCCTGACGCTTACCTTGAAGTGCCAAACTTCTAATTTACAAAACCAGTCCAGACAGTTATCTTAAAGCTCAGATATATTTGATGTAGATAGTTTAGTGTTAGATATGTTTTTAACTTCCACATACCTTGAGGTCTCCAAACATCTCCAGGAGATTGTGTGTACGGGTGCTAAGTGATAAGTGATAGAGAATATCCTCCTCCAGGGTGTGAATGTGTGGGTTCTTCAGGAGGACGCTTCCATCTTCAGCTCTACACATGAAGTTGACAAGTTCACTATGAGTTCATATTGGGTTTATTAAAAATAAATATCAACACTGCACTGTTACTGATGTAAAAAAAAAATACCAAATTATCTCAGGCGATCTGTTCTGTGGAACTAAATGTTGTCCGTGAAGTGTTGACTGTTTCAAAATGTGTAGTACATGTACTGTAATAACTTTTGTGGTCAAAAGGTAAACACTTGGCTAAAGTAGTTTATAATTACTGAATATTAACTAATAATTTTACTGTAACCACTAGTCAGTAGACCATGTGGTAGTTTTACTGTAACCACCAGTCAGTAGACCGTGTGGTAGTTTTACTGTAATCACCAGTCAGTAGACGACACCGTGTGGTAGTTTTACTGTAACCACCAGTCAGTACACGACACCGTGTGGTAGTTTTACTGTAACCACCAGTCAGTACACGACACCGTGTGGTAGTTTTACTGTAACCACCAGTCAGTACACGACACCGTGTGGTAGTTTTACTGTAACCACCAGTCAGTAGACGACACCGTGTGGTAGTTTTACTGTAAACAGCCAACATCACTATCTATAATGGATGAAGACAGTAGGAAAATTAGCAGCCGTAAAGTAAAATAAGGAGTCAGTAATTAGTAGCTGGTAATAAAAGATACTAATTATAACACTGAGGTTTAGTGGATGTAGATGTCGTGCGTATAGAATCCTTAACATTAGGGTCTACTGTACACGTGGGTAATGGCTACCTTCTAGTCAGTGTATTTGTTATGACCAGCAGGAGTGTATCTCTTCTGTTTGTTAAATGCTTGCTCTGATGTTTCGTCCGCATGTTCAGTTCATAGACGTTCAAAGACCGTTTTATGAGTATATATCTACGTTCTCTGTACAGGTATACGTGTAATTAATGCTATTTTATCTTCTATAAGGTCGTGGAACAGTTCCAGCTGTGGGAGTATTATTACTGGAGCAGTTAATCCCGCCAATTAGGAGGCAGTTGCTGCTGATTGGTTGTCCTCTTCCTCTCTCTGGCCTGCATTTCTCAATTAGAAATGGCTGTGTCTTAAACTCCAGCTTATTCTTAATGGGTTAGCCAATGTTTTGCATAAGCTGGTAGTGTTTGAAAATACTACAACGCTCTTCGTTGTGTGTACTGGAGGGAAGAAGTCAGCTGATAACCTGACCAACCCAGCGTACATCAGTGTATTCGTGTTTTTCGCTTATGTTACCCCCACCCCGGTGACTCAATGGCAAGTCTGAGGGCTTATAACACTAAAAAAAACAGGTTTCGATACCTGTGGTGGCTTCAGCACACAGCCTTTTGTGTAGCTTAGCGCTTAACAACAAACAAATTTATACCAGTTATATTAATCCTAATAATAACTTGAAATATAGATTAATGTTTAATTTTCTTACACTCATAGTAATGTTGACCAGTGGTATCATTCCAGACGATATGTAAAAGATTAGGTAGGTTAAACACTAAAATTTAGTTAGCTCTGGTATTGAGCGTAAGGCATTCACAACGGCGAGTAGCCCACAAAGTGTGCGGCTTATAATTAATGTTTTTTTACATATTAAAAGTATTGTCTTTTTATGATACTAGCAGATAATGTTTCGCTAATCTAGGCGTTATACACAATAAAATTAAAATGTTTATTTTACTCAACCTTATTATTTTACTTTTTTATCAAATTACTTCAAGTAGAATTAAGTTTTATTTGCTTCGCATAACGCGACAAATCAGTAGTTAGACAAAGATTAACAGGACGTTTTCAAAGACAAAGATTAACAGGACGTTTTCAATTATGAATAATTTCAAAAATAATTTAAGCAGTATACACGTAGCACCTCAGAAGTATCATCACCTTATATTTGAAAGTTTCAAATCAATCTTAAAATACTAAATAAATTAAATCTTACATTAAAAACAAAACAAACCTGAACTAACACTACTCATTTGTCACTATTGGTATCACTCTTAAAGTTCCTATTCTGTTAAAATCAAATAATTCATTGATATTTAAATAATATCAGTTTGAGAAAACGTCGTTATAGTGTATAAAAATGACTACCTATATTACATAACATGCAACTACCAATAGGTTAGTTTAGGGTATCAAGTGTTATCCAGTAAAAAAAACACTAATGTTGAAGACAATTTTATAATATATCAAATCAATGGAAATCAATTTTCATAACTTTATTTATTTTTATAGTTACTTTTATACACCAATCGTATTTGATATTAGCTAAAACTTTCAATTTTAATACGTTAAGTAAATAAAATTAGGCCTTAATAATATCTCATAAAACATGGAAACTCAATAATTTACGTACACGAAAAATAAAAAACAAAACACTTAAAATTTAGATTCATAACAATTAGCTAATTATATGCTCGGAATATAACTTAATTACTAATACTTGTATTAAGTTGTAGTACCTATTTATACGAATACTATTACTCAGTATTAGTATTACTAGCCCTGATGAAGCTGCACTGGCAAAACATAGGCTGATAATGAAATATAAAGCAATACTTTTATATTTAACTTTTATTTTAATAAGACTTAAAATAAAATTATTCTACTGTAAAGTAAAATAAATAATTTTACTGATATTCTGTTTCTTCCAGATGGCAAAGTGTGGTACCCTCTGAATTAGCAGGCATTCTTCTTCAGAAAATTACGTTTCTTCCCAAACGTACAAACGATCTAAAATTTTAAGCCTATCGTAACTTGTCAGTTAACGTTCCACTCTCTACATATACGAGAAACCCTTCTGCTTATGCGTCTTACGTACGAGGACTTTAATATTTGATTTGGTATTTCAAACTCTTCTAACACAACCACCAGAGGGCTTCTCTATTTATCTCTAGGTGGAAATTTGATAGTTCATCACCTCGTTAATTGCTTGAGAGTTATTGATAAAATAAATACAATACAAATATTTCTTCTCAATAACTATTTTATTTCTTTGGTATAAAACAATTATTACACTCGATAATGCACTGAATAATACAGTAATTTTTGCATGATGTTTTCCTTGATTTAAATATAAAAAATATTAATAAAAGAACACTTTCTAGGGAATCACAAAATCGTTCATCTTCTATGCTCAACAGTGTTTTAAATTTAACAAGAATTAACAATTGATGTGAGCGCTACATTTTTATGTATTTTTCTGCCCATCAATATAACATATAAACCGATTTTACTTCTATCGATCCAATAGCCATATAAGTTTATTTTTGTTTACTCCCACAGAATAAATACGTAGCTATTTGATTAATTACGTTTGATTACTTTTACGTATTAGGCTTAGAGTTCTACAGCATTTTATCAGAAGATCACCGAAAACATTAGGCATCCAGTTTTAGACGTGATGAAAAATGTGGAGTACTTAAACCCTAGCTTGCTGCGGATTATAATTAGGGCCACTAAGTAATTAAGGCTTACAAGTCTTATTTCGTTGGTCAAGATTAAAATCCCTATATTTAGGTTTCGGCTTTGGTGTACAGATACATTCTCTGAAAATTAATTAGATTTCAAAGAATTTATTTATAGTAAGCAATTCCTCATGAATGGTTTTCTACTATAATCTTTAAGTGATGTATCATCACGTTTTTATCTTATGGGATTGAAATATAAAAGTTACCTAAGTTTGAAAGGATGAGCTGATTTTCATAAACCAGGGTTTACTTTATTGCCATAAATATTGTAGTCTTTTTATTTTCTTTGGTTATACAAACATACGTTTCATAACTGGGTATCCGACACTAAGTTCCAGTTAACAGGCCTTGTACTGTAAGTGTGGAAAGGCATAAAAGTAACGTGCAAACAGCTCCCCCCCCCCCCTGTTCCAAGGTTGGTACTTTACTCAAGAACAGATGTAATAAAATTACTGAATTCAACAAAACAAAAACAAACTTGTTGACACCAAAAGTACTGACTTAAATACTGTAGTTAAGAATATAGGGTTATTAGGTTGATTTATTCTAGATGACTATGTCAGTGTTTGTATTTTGACATAAGAGTATAACCTACATACTTTTGTTGCTCCTTTATGGGATGTGTCCTGTTTATAAACGTAACCTTACCTCTGTCTTATCCTTCGATTCTAAACATAAATAATATAAACAAATAATAAAAAACGAACCTCTTTAATTAACCGGGTCTCTAAATCAGAAAACAACAAATATTTTTTAAAAATTTTGTAGTTTATACATTTCATTTTAAACTTTCAGCAGATGAGTCTTTGTAATTAAGCACAAACTACACAATGGGCTATCTGTGCTCTGCCCACCACGAGTATCGAAACCCGGTTTCTAGCGTTGTAAGTCTGCAGACATTCCGCTGTGCCACTGGGAGGCCTTTTAAGGGATAGCCTCTTAACAACAATATTAGGTTATACTTTTGTTGTTCAGCAACATATAAAAGCCATTGTTGGGACACATTGTTATAAAAACGCACTGGTTTTTTTATATATTAGAAGTTGTTAAATAAGGAACCACTTCTTTACCATGTGGTTTTACGCTAGATTGCTTCATTTAAAAAATGCACGCGCGCGCATGCTCGCACGTGCGTGTCTGTCTGTGATTTATATCTATAATTTGTAATATTTGGAACCGTTTCTTTTCTATATGTTTTTTGCTAACTTGCTTCACAAAAAGATGCGCTCACGCACGCACTGTATAAATAATAATACCCAGGTGCACACTCTCAGGATCCACTTAATATGGGTGCAAAATTTCAGATTTCTGGGTTCTTTCCTCTTGGAGTTATGGCTGTCACACAGACACGCTCTTTTATTATTATAGATTAGAAAGTACCTTATAATATAGCACATTTCCTGGATCATCTCCCATATTATCAAATTTCCCGCTTATACTTTGTTTAGGAATAATTTCAATGTATTTAATTAATTAATAACTTATTTATCTGTTTTGTTGCAGACTAAAGAGGTGACCGTCTGTAGATATCGTCTAATCCACCAAAGTTAATTAAGGGGAAGTGTGTAGACTAAGGGCGTGACCATCTGCAGATATGGTCTGATTAAGTAATACAGCTCATTTTTACCTTTTAATTAGACCCTAGTGGTCTCAAGGCTTATACGAATTTCGATACCTGTGGTAGGCACAGCCCAGATAGCCTACTGTGTAGCTTTTTTGTTTAACACATGTTGGATCACACAATATCTGCAGATGGTCACGCCCTTAGTCTCACCCTTAGTCTACACATGTTGGATCACACAATATCTGCAGATGGTCACGCCCTTAGTCTACACATGTTAGATCACACAATATCTGCAGATGGTCACGCCCTTAGTCTGCACATGTTGGATCACACAATATCTGCAGATGGTCACGCCCTTAGTCTACACATGTTAGATCACACA